GTTTGAGTTTTTTTCAAACCAATCAAAACGGTTTGGTTTAGGTTTGAGTTTTTCTCAAACCGGTTGAAACGATTTGATTTGAAAATTTGTCAAAAATCAATAAAATCGGACCGCTTACACCCATACTATTAAGCAACTAAGATATTTAACTCGATATATTTATATATCTTTAGAATGCTACAATTTTTTTTTTTATAGTAAAAGCTCTAATAAGCCCCTGTTTGAATTACATTAAGGGCCTGTTTGGTACAGATTCTCATTTTCTATAGTAAATTAATTCTCATTTTCATCCACACATTCTTCAATAAAATAATATTTTCCATCACATCAATTCTTTTTTCTTCTTTTTCAACCACATATTTCCTTTCATATCACTATTCAAAAATCAGTTCTTCCCCAAAAAATCCCTACCAAACACACTCTAAAATTTTCATTTTCATTCTTATATTCAGTTCTTCCCCAAAAAATCCCTACCAAACACACTCTAAAATTTTCATTTTCATTTTTATACTCATTTTCAATCACACATTCTTCAATAAAATAATATTTTCCATCACATCAATATTTTTCAACCACATATTTTCCATCAATCTACTATATCAAAATACATTCTTTCAAAATAATGTGGCTCAAACACACATATAAGTAGAGAAGGAACATCTTATAATTTTCAAACTCAAATTCAAATAAACTCATTTCAAACTTATTCCAAAATTAGAAATCATGGTGACATCAGCATATCTTGAATTTTCTTGTGGTAATTATCTTGAATAAAGGCATTTTGGTGCAATGTCCTAAATATGTCTATACAATATTAAGCTCGCATTTGAGTCCCAAAAAAAGTATTTCTGAGTAGTGATTTTTTTAAAAAAATATGTAGTTGAAAATAAGTTTTGAGAAAATGGAACTCAAACAAATGCTAAGAATGTTCTACTTTCATCACGTTATTGTCTTCAATAGGTAGATACGAATTTACTTTCATTTAATTAAGATGATATTACGAATAAGATGAAATCCCATTTCGAAAGTGAGACTACTCACATCTAGAAAGCACTATTTATCTATCGAATATACAGTTAGAATAGATGAAGTACGTGAAAAATATCATTTTCTTTTCATATGCTTAAGAATGAATTGACAGAGATTCTTTTTCTTGTCTTGAGGATAATTATATCTTCAAATATTGGAGAAAAAAATAGAGAGACAAGGAACCTTCGTACACAGCCACCCAAAATAGCATGTTTTTTGTAATTTCAATATTAATTAAATGTAAAATATTCAAGAAAATGGACCACGCCACCCCTACTCCACCCACCCCAATCCTCCGTCTATATATACACCATTGACCCCTCTAATGGACGCGCCTGTCTCCTCCAGTTCATCCCTGTTTCCTCCCCTCCATCTTCATCATTTACCACAGCTCACAATTTCCGCAGAGAGAGAGAGAGAGAGAGGAGCTAGAAAAAAATAAAAAAAAATCTAAGAAACCCTAATTAATCAAGCAATTTTCTACATCCTGGGGATTGTAAATCGATTTTAATGTCGGATACATACTGCTCGGACTGCAAGAGGAACACGGAGGTGGTATTCGATCACTCGGCGGGGGATACTGTGTGTTCCGAGTGCGGTCTTGTGCTGGAGTCCCGTTCCATCGATGAGACTTCTGAGTGGAGGACTTTCGCTGATGATTCGGGCGATCATGACCCGAACCGTGTTGGAGGACCTGTTAATCCGCTTCTTGCTGATGCGGCCCTATCGACCGTGATTTCGCGAGGACCTAATGGGTCTAATGGGGATGGATCCCTTTCCCGGTTGCAGAACCGCGGTGGTGATCCCGAGCGGGCTATTGTACTGGCCTTTAAGGCCATTTCCAATATGGCTGATAGGTCTGTATTTGTTATTGATTATTAAGTTTTTGCTTTTCATGTGAACCTCTGGGGTTTAAGGTAAAACCTTTAGAATGGAACTAATGGGTTTTCCAGAAATTTATCTAAAAAGTGTTCACGGAATTAGGATAAAGAAGAAAAGGATTCACTTGGGGGTTTATATGGGAAGGTTGGTTAAAGCTAAAATCTTGAAAGGTCTAGAAAAAAAGATAGATAATTTGAATGATTCAGTGAATCTGATCGAGATTTAGGGTGTTAAAGTTTTGGCATTGATTGAAATTGTATTAGTCTGATTCATAAAGAAGCAACAAAAAAGAAATCTTCCAGAGCAATTAACTTTTAGTTCCTTGTTTGAAATGCACGATTTTGTTCTTTGTATGGATTGTGAATTTGAATTCTTGGGTTTGCCGAGAATGCATTTGCTAATTATATTTCTCTGTCTTGAGTTTTGGTTCTTGTGAAGTTTTGAATCTGGTTATGTGTGTTTGACCAAGACATTAATGATCATAGTGTCGTGTAATGTTTTGAATGTTGTGTACTTGTATAGATTTTTATTTATGATATTTTAGTTTTTAGGGCAAAGATCATTGGCAATCTGAATGAATCTTTTTAGATTAAATTGGACTAAAATAGTTAAACTGTATTGATCGTAGAATTTTATGTGATTAACTTGCGTGTTTTTGGGTGGTGTCATGTCTAAAAAGAAAAGCAAACCATTGACGGTTGACCAGTGTTTATGTAATAGCTAATCTATTTGCGGTTTCCTTTTATTCTTTTAAGATTGATTGATAGGAAGAGCAATTAACAGAACTAATGTTTTCTCTCGTCCTTTCCAGGTTGAGTCTTGTTGCAACTATTAAGGTATTCTTCTTACTCAACTGTCTTTTTGACAAAAATTGTGTAATGAGACGTAAAATCCAATTTACTCCAATAACATCTTGTTTCTCAATGTGCCTAGATTTCTGTTTTCACTCACTTTCATACTGTAGGTTATTTCAACCCCCCCCCCCCCCCCCCCCCCCCNGTTTTTTCCCCCCCCCCCCCCCCCCCCCCCCCCCAACAAAACACTCTCTTTTTGCTTTCTTGTGTTTGTAAAGAAATTTAGTTATCACATAGAGAGCTTACAGGGGATGTCACGAATTCCGCATAGGTTTTACTATCGGGCGTATCTTTGCTGTCATTTTATTACCTTTTTCCTTATATTTGAAACCTACAATTATCTTATGCTTTGAGTTCCTAAAACCAGACTTGGTGTCCTAAGATTTGTGTTCCTAAAACCTCCTGTATTTGGCATGCCACTAATTTATTTATTTATTTTTTCCTAGAATCTCGGCCTCCGTTTCAGCACTAGCAGGGGCGGTTTCTGGTGGTGGCACGGCCCTTTTTTGGGGTGGTTTTGGGCTTTGATTTGGAGGAGCAAAAATAGGAGATGAAAGCTCGAGGAAGGCTTTGACTAAAGTCGAAGGGAATGCGAGGACTTTGGGATCTATATGGACCTCTGTAATGTTCGATCCTTGATTTCGGAGGGGTTTTTTTGTTTAATTTGTTTTCGTGATTGATGCGTATAATGATTGTTTTGAAGATTGTCGCAGTGTTTTATGGGATTAGGTTTAAAGTTTGGGTTCAAGAAGGTTTCTGCGAAGCCCTAAATTGGAGTAAGGTGAGGGTTTCATTTTGTTTCTTAATGTAAAATGGCATGTTACTGTTATATTTGCTCGATGCTTGACGATTGACGATGATTGAAAAATTATTTTTCAGAAAAAAATTAATTTAGTTTTGGTTTAGCTCTACTCAATAGAACAAATTTGTTGGATGCAGATTTTGCAGCAAAATTGACCTTTAATGTACTGTCATCAGCAAAATTCGCCTGTCACTAAATGTTCTTGCTTTGTCTCAACTGACAAAAATTAGTTTGTGCAACTGAAAAATGATCTTGCATCTTGTGGTGGTTGCTGATGAGATATACAATCTGTCCACTGGAGACTATTACAAGTTTTCTTCTCATTACATGTATGTTAACAGAAAATATTTACTCCAATTATATAATTTTCATATAATGAAGCAAATTTACTGGTGCTGTCACTCTGTTTAGACTTTAGAAGCGACAATTTGTTAAACTTTACATGTTCACATGTATTGTAAGTTGTCATATTTCCTAGTCTCACGTAAGATGCTAACCTCTTTTGAAGGATCGGGCCAGTGAAATATATAAAAGGTTGGAGGATCAGAAGTGTACAAGAGGAAGAAATTTGGATGCTATAGTGGCTGCCTGCATTTACATTGCTTGCCGGCAAGAAGGCAAACCGCGCACTGTAAAAGGTGCTACCTATAATCATTTGAACATTTAGATAACTTTTCATTTAATCTTAACCCGTGTTGGAACTCCTCTTGACCTGTGGTTATCAAATAGAAATATGCTCTATTGCAAATGGAGCAACAAAGAAAGAAATTGGCCGAGCGAAAGAATTTATTGTGAAACAATTGAAGGTTGAGATGGGTGAATCTATTGAAATGGGTACCATACACGCTGGGGATTATCTGGTGAGTTAGTTGTGATGATAACATAGCTTGAGACAAGATGCATAATTAGATCTTTCATATAACTTCCACGTCTCTCCTAGATCCGTGTATAGTAGCTAGTCTTCAATATCCATTCAATTAATATCATTATCATCTTATTTTTATTTTTTATCAGAGGCGTTTTTGTTCTAATCTTGGTATGAGCCACGAAGAAATCAAAGCTGTCCAAGAAACTGTCAAGAAGTCAGGGGACTTTGATATAAGGTATGCGATATATTATCTTCCATCTCACCTCTATTTGTTTCTTTAATGGTTTGACGGGAACTTCGAGTTTCATAACATTCTACCATGTAACCGTGCATTCAAATTGCCACATTGTTTGGCACAGAATCAAGAAATTTCTCAGTTGCTGTGCTTTACTGGTTCCAAGTCCTGTTTATAAATAGACCAGGAAAATAAATGTAAATTTCTCTTTTAAAGTGAAGCATGCAGAATCCAGGAAAATATACTTTTTTTTACTAGTTCATCAATTGTTTTTTTCCCGTGTTCACATTTCTTGTTATTGTTTTCTTGCAGGAGGAGCCCGATATCAATTGCTGCAGCAATTATTTTCATGATAACTCAACTGTCAGAGTCAAAGAAAGCCTTGCGAGGTTTTAGCATTCACCATCTGTGTGCATTGGTGTTTGCAGTGAATTTTTAAGATAATTTCTTTCATGCAAAGTCGTGTTTAAATACGTCCATGCCTTAATCATATGTCACTAGTTCCCCACACTGCGTTTTGTTTTAACACATGTGACTTACATATGCTTGGCTAGCAGGAGGGTTTTATTCACAAGAAGTTTCATTCCGTGTACGTGTACTTGTACTTGATTGAAACAATGTTCATGCAGATATTTCAATTGCTACCACAGTTGCAGAAGGGACTATCAAGAATGCATACAAGGATTTGTATCCTCATGCTGCAAAAATAATACCAGACTGGTACGCGAAGGAAAGGGATCTCAAGAACCTCAGTAGTCCTAAAGCCTAGACAAAACAAAATAATAATGAAGGTCGGATCTGGATCAAGCCGTCTATCAGTTCTTATGGCGAGGAGGAGACATACACAGATACGATACAGTATTACTACAAATTCTATTTTCTTTCGAAGCAGATAGTCAAGGACGACCAATTTTGGAATTTGCTTGAACTATTTAATTTAAGGGTTTAATGCTCCCCCTTGGACAGCTAAAAGCATATTTTTAATTAAGGTAATCCATTTTATTTTTCCGGGGAGTCTCTGTGTTTGTATATAATATATAGACGCAGAAACTCTAATTATACTTGAGAACCCGTTTTACTACCTGCTAAATGGGAGTTACCTATTTTGTCAAATATATGATTTTGGAACCCTTTTTTTTTTAAAAAAAGTAAGTCAAGTAACTTTTAAACTCGTGAAAACATGCTTATAATAATCGGCTTCCAAACGAAATTCCACTTCTTATGCCATGCTTTAAAACTCTGGATTGAAAACATGCAAAACCAACTTCAAATATAAGACAAATTCTGGTGACAGACAGAAACAACATTATCCTACTTCGCACGAAAACTACTAAGAGCCTGGAGTTTCTATTTTAGACATGTTTCAGAAATCGAAACTCTTAAGTTAATATCTTCAGAAAGGTTTCTGCGTAAGCTAGGTTCTACTTAGTGATAAGAGGCAGTGAATAACCCAATCCTCTGCCCTCTTTCTTATCTCTTCACTTTCTTCTGATGCCATCAACCTTTTTCACCACATTCTTAATTTTCTACGAATCCATTAGTTGCTTCGGCAGATTCCACTCCCTTAAAACCTGACCTAGTTTTAGTATTTCTGTCACAATAACAACTAAAAGGGCCACTGCCCAGGTTGATATTGGTACTCCCATTGCAATATTTTATATGCATTAATTCCATCCACAGTAACTCACAAATTTTATCACCATTCTCATTCTTTCCATTGGACTCTGTGGAATCTAATTAGACTTACACATCACTTTTGTTGACCTCAAAAAATGCGTCAACAGAATCTTGACCACTCCCCTCCACGTGGATGTTACATGCACACTGGAATACTCTGTTAGTAGGCGAAAGCAGTCGGTCAAGTAAAGGGTCTGCGATCGTTTGCACTCCAATGATCAAATCAACGGCCGGACGAAAGAAAAATGAGTGCATGAAGCGGGAGAGAGGGGTTAGCTAAGGTTAGAGAACATACCCAAATTGTGAAATGAATCACATATATATGGTAAAACGAAAATGAGCCAAGTAATGTTAATGGGCTGAGTCCAAGCCGAAGACGAAGTTACTTAGTTTAATAGGTCAAATCCAATGAATTGTCGATGTCACGTCAACATATATAGGACCCCCCTCCGTCACACGCATGCCACGTAATTTATGGATATAAATATACTCCCCCAAGTTTGAGTCGTACATTTATGTGTGGGTTGGACTTCGAAATATAAGCTGCCAAGTAGGCAGGTCTATAGATTGCCTTTGAAATATGAGTAGCTCCAATAAGTGTGGACTTACAAAATAGTCGAGGACTTAAGAATTGCCTCAAGAATATAAATCGCTCCAGAATTGCCTCAAGAATATAAATCGCTCCAATATTTGAGGACTTACGTCTTATAAATATCTATGTGAGCCTTAATAAGTGAGAGCTTACAGATTGTCTCGAAAGATCACATATAATTTGTCAGTTTCGACAACATCTCCTCAATAATATGGATTAAACAAACCTGTAATAAAACATAATATCTCCACCGCATATATATAAAATAAATTGGGATCCATTTGCCTCACAAATTACTCATGATGATAAAGTGAATAATGACATATCAAATTTCTCCAAGATATAATATGTAGAGCCTATCATGTACCATAACATGTCATATGCTTACACAACTTAGTGTAATAGTAGTGCTATAGTGACGTAAGTAACATGTTGATAATGTAGATAACTCAAAATACGTATTGACAATACTAAAAATAGTATTATGACATGCTAGCAATGACGTGGCAAGCGTACTTGACAACAATAATATAATGCTAGCAGTAATAATATAATTATACTAAGATACTAGTAACACAATAGTCCTCCAAATTCATATATGAATATTCATATAATGTGTGGACTTTTGAATAAGGACGATGCTTTGAAGATAAGTAGCTGCGATGAAGCTAATGCATAGGTGAGACTCTAGATATAAGCAGTTGTGATAAGCTAATACAAAGGTGATGCTCTGAATGTAAGTAGCAGAGATTGTGATAAGCTGATGCAAAGGCGATACTCTGAATGTAAGCGGTTGTGATAAGTTGATATAAAGGCGATGCTCTGAATATAAGTAGCAGAGGCGATGCTCTGGACTTAAATAGCTATGATGAGTTGACATCCTTACATGGGGATGGCGCATCCATGTCAAGGGCTTCCGATGGAAGGCTTCGTCTTCGTAGGTATTAAGGTGGGCCCACCCCTCTTCTTATGAAGCGGTAAATGACATCCTTGCATAGTGGATGGTTCACACATGCTAAGGACTTCCTGCATGGTGGATGATTTATCCATGCAAGGGATAATATAAGCTCTCTGAAGATAAGTAGATGTGACATAGTTGAAGCTAATGCAGTCGATGGGGAGGCATGATGAGCTTTCTAAAAATAGATATAGTCGTGTTATAGCTAATGTAGATAATGAATTTTGGACCTTGTTTGTCAAGCCATTCTAAATATTTATGCTGGCTATTGGAGTACAATTTGAACGGAAGAATATGTCTGACTGCCCACGCCTTCCGGCTCCTAACAATCTCGTCCTTCGCCAATAGATCAACAACATAAGTTCCTTATATAACTCTACTGTTATTGTATATATCACTAGCCCTGATATCCAAATGGTTAAACTGTAAAGCAGCAAATTCTCAAAGTTCATCGGTTGAACATCCTTCCCAAGAGGATAACTCATTTTTTAGTTCTATTGGGAACAATTTACCAATTCCTTACCGTACATAAGAGGCCTGCATGAACGTTGAGATACAGTTGAATACATTAAACTCTACATTTGGAATTGTAGCTTTGTCTTGAGCTACAAGGGCCATAAGAGAGTCGACTAAAATTCTTCTCACCATAGAGGATATATTTGGTAAGTACTCAGCAACAGAGAGGCAAGTTCATCGAGGCATTCCATGCTGGCTACAGATGTTCAGGGAGTTCATTCGACGAGTTTGGATTTGAAGGAGGAGAGACAAAGTATGATGTAGGAAGATCATGAAATCGGATTTTAGCTACACCGATAACAACAGTTGTATGATGTCAAGTATATTGAAGGCAAGTTGCAGAAGTGATTGAGGTGGCCTTGTGCAGGGAATTGCACCATAACAACAACAATTTGAGCTTTTTCTTTCATTATTTCAATTTCATAGTTTGTATGATTGTTGCCGATGGCCATTGGAAGTCAGTTCAAGGTACTGGTTGGGAATTTAAAGAGATTTACCTCCTAATAATAATTTTCTTGTGGTGCAGATAATTTTGACTCTTTTTGACAGTTCTTTGAAAGTAACAGTCTAGAGAAGACAAAGTGAAAAATGATTCAAGTTCTATTTATTTTTTGTTCAAGAGGCATTCTCTATACATGAAATGTCCAATTCAGCTTTAGCAGGGGCGGACCCACATGGGGTCATGTGGGGTCAAATGACCCCACAAATTTTATTTTTTTTTTGTTTTCAAGTTTTATTTTTTTAATTATTGTAACTGGCCCAAGATAAATTAGATAATGGCCCAACTTCCCAACCCAACCGTCAAACCAAAACACTAGCCCAGGCCCAACACCTCATCCCCTTATTTCTAGCCCAATTCTTGAACCATTACCTTACCACACCACGACTTCACTCTCCCTGCCATCTCCCGATTCGGGCGATTTGAAGCTCAAAATCACCATTTTCTCGAGTTCAAGCTCGAACTCTGCCTTTCCAGCTGGCAGCCAGCCTCCGGTCGGTTGCAGCTTGGTGCTTGCCTGCCTGGGACTCCGCTTCAAGCTTCGTCATCCGCTCGCGAATTGCCTGTCTTTAAAGCTGTAAGTCACCCATTCCGCCACTCGCCTGCCATTTGCTATGTTTATATTCTTTGATAATTGATAGTTTGATCTATAAATTGCATAGACATTATTGATTATACTCGAATTCGTTTGGGCTTTACTAGTTTACTTGGTGGATTTGAGTAAAGCCGTGAGGTAGTTTTATTCAATCGGGCAGATGATATGGTTTAGGGTTTAGTTGATTTGGGAATTGATTTTGCTCTGTTTTTCTTGATTAATGGATTTATGTAATTATGTCAATCGGGCAGATGATATGGTTTAGGGTTTAGTTGATTTGGGAATTGATTTTACTTTGTTTTTCTTGGTTAATGGATTTATGTCATTATGTGGTGTTATCAGGATTCAGGAATAGTAAACTTAGGGTAGGTTTGGGGATACTGATTCAAATGTGGTTTCACTGGTTTGTAATCAAGAATTTGTTTTATAATAGGCATGGAGAAATATTTTAAACGAAAATTAGTATGTTCGAGTGTGGAGGAAAATACAGTTGAAACTCAAATGAGTGTTCAAAAAGAAAAAGATGGTCGGGAAGAATCAGATAACGGGAGAAATAGAGATGTTCAGGATAATATTGATTTAGCACAACTGCCTTCGGATCCTGGATTAAGAACTCCAATAGTGAGTTATAATGTTAATGTTCACGATGAAATTAGAAGAGCATATGTACAAAGGGGTCCATGTCAGCCTCGAAATCACTTGTGTCCACAGAACCAATTTGGAGATTTGTCGTTAAGACGATTTAAAACAAGTTGGTTTAATAACTTTCCTGATTGGTTGTAATACAATATAGCAAAGGATGCCCTATTTTGCTTTTATTATTATCTTTTCAATCAAAATCATGAAGAACATGGTGGAGGTGATTTTTTTGTTGATGGGGGGTTCTCAAACTGGAAGAAGAAAGGAAGACTTCAAACTCATGTTGGGAAAAGTGGTAGTGCACACAACCAAGCGCGGATTAAGTATGAGGCTTTTGTGAATCATAAACAAAATATTGATTGTGTTCTTTTTAAAAATTCGAAAAGAACGAAAGATGAGTATCGAATTCGTCTGAATGCGTCAATTGATTGCGTTCGATTGCTTCTAAAACAAGGGCTTTCATTTCGTGGGCATGACGAATCTGAAGATTCAAGAAATCAAGGAAATTTTCTTGAACTGTTGCAGTGGTTATGTGATCATAATAAGGAGATTAAGGATGTTTCTTTGAAGAATGCTCCCGAAAATCTTCAGTTAACATCACCTAAAATTCAAAAGGATATTGTGAGTGCTATTGCATTTGAAACACTTGATGTTATTATGAAGGATATTGGTGATGGGTTGTTTTCTATTCTTGTTGATGAATCTCGGGATGTATCAGTTAAGGAGCAAATGTCAGTTGTTCTACGTTATGTGAATCAGAAAGGACAAGTCATGGAACGTTTTATCGGTGTTGAACATGTCTCTAGTACTAACAGCTCTCTCACTGAAGGATTCTATCGATCACTTATTCTCAAGATTTAACTTAAGTATATCTAGTTTAAGAGATCAAGGATATGATGGGGCAAGCAATATGCGAGGTGAGTACAATGGTCTCAAAGCACTTATTTTGAAAGAGAATTCAAGTGCTTTCTATATTCATTGTTTTACTCATCAACTGCAACTAGCTCTTGTAGTTGTGGCAAACAAGCATGCAGATATTGAAACTTTCTTTACTTTGGTGAATAAAGTGGTAAACGTGGTTGGTGGATCGGCTAAGCGATGCGATCTTCTTCGAGAGAAAAAGAGGCTTGAAGTTGCTGAATCGTTGAATATTGGTGAAATCTTAAATGGAAAGGGTCTTAATCAAGAAACTACCCTTCAGCAACCCGGTGATACTCGTTGGGGCTCTCATTATAGTTCTTTACTTAACTTGATTCTTATGTTCTCTGCTACAGTTGATGTCGTTGAGATGATTGCCACTGATGATAATAGTTGTGGAAAGCGAGGAGAAGCGCGTATTTTGTTGGGATCTATGTTGACATTTGACTTTGTATTCAGTTTGCATCTCATGAAAAAGGTATTGGGTATTTCAGATGAATTGTCAAAATCATTACAAAGGATAGATCAAAATATTGTGAACTCTATGAAATTAGTGAAAATATGCAAACAACGACTCCAAGCAATGAGGGACGATGAATGGGAATCATTTTTAAGAACAGTTTCTTGTTTTTGCGAAAGGTACAACATTGATATTCCCAACATGAATGATATTTTTATACCTCTAGGCCGTTCACGGCGTAACACGCAAGGAACGACAAATTTGCATCACTTTCGTGTTGATTTCTTCTATGTTATCATCAATATACAAATTCAAGAGTTGAATGATCGTTTCTCTGAGGTAAATAGTGATTTACTCATCTGTGTTTCATGCTTGTGTCCGGATAATTCATTTTCAGCTTTCAACAAGGACAAGTTAATTCAATTGTGTGAGTATTATCCCAAATATTTTACACCAGTAAATATCTTGGCTCTTAAAGAGCAAATCCAGACATATATTATTGATATGCGCACAACTGAAGATTTTCAAGGTTTACGAGATCTTAATCATCTTGCAAAAAAGTTGGTTGAAACGAAAAAAAAATGAAGTGTATATATTAGTTTACCGACTTGTAACATTAGCGTTAATTCTTCCAGTTGCTACTACTACAGTAGAGAGAGTATTTTCTGCAATGAAAATTGTCAAGAATCGACTGCGTAGTCGGATGGGAGATCAATGGTTAAGTGATAGTTTAGTTACATATGTTGAAATCGATGTACTTAACAATATTGATAACGATGTAGTTATACGACGTTTTCAGAGTATGAAAACGCGTAGGTTACAATTGTAATAGCATATCGGCTTATTTTTGTTAATGATATGATATTTTGGAATTCTCATTTTTGACCCCACAACGCGAATCGTCTGGGTCCGCCCCTGAGCTTTAGTATAGATGTTCTTCACATTCTTCATGTTATCTTCGTCCCTTACCCCGACCCCTCTCTCCGCACTACATTCCCTCTGGAAGTGTTTTTAGAATGAACAAGATACGATCTGATGTTACTCCACCGACAGCGTTAATGGAAAAGATGGAATAGAAATATGTTTTTCTAGAATGAATAAGATACGGATCGATAAGAGGGATTTAGCAAAATATGACAAGATAGGAATGGGCATAGTAACATAGAGATAAAGGAAACACTAGGTTCCAGCGAAAAGCAATCCAAGTGTCTAGAATTTGGATTGTTTGGACAAGAAACTGAGAGGGCAATGAACAAACAAACTGAATGCTTGGAAGGCAGTTGGGTGCATTATTTTTTATGCACTTTTTTGCTTCTGAACACAAATTGGATATAAATGTTGTAATGAGAGACGAGCAACAATAAGGAGCAAATCCTAGTCATGAAGCAAATCATGTCGAGAAAATGTGTACTTAACGATTCTAGAGCAAAAAATATTGACAAAGCGATCACAATTCAGTTATGTAGTGGAAATTGTTTCATCTTTGTTTAAAATTAGACGTCTCTAACAATGTAAGCGGTTTGTTGCTCGACTAAGGTGTATAACAATGTGACAATGTTGGGGCATCATTTTAAACTAAAAAAATGTTGAATATAATTGGATTCTAAGTATTAGAGTTTACAAGACTTTAAAGGAAACGTTTCATGAATCATGATAAAAGAGAATATTTCTTGTGTAGCATGTGCACATCGAATTTATGAATTGCAATATTTCTCATTTTATTGTGAATAAGATAGTTGTACTCTCCACATTTTATCATCTGTATAACTCACACTTAATGAAGTTATATTGAATCGTTAAAATAAAATAAAATCAAAATGTTATATAAATAAAAATGATTTAAATTTGGAGAGCACAACTATTTAATTCACATTAAAATGAATATTTCTATTTATAAGGGTGTTTACCTATCATAAATTCGTGATTCTATGTTTACACACAGATTTCTTTAGAATTAACAAAAAGATAAATCATTCTTTTTAATTCATCAGAGAATTAATTTACTCTTCCTAAACATATCCATTAATTGATTATCTACTAATGTGAGCAATAAAAGAATCCAACTCCATGCGGGTGGCGCCACCTTCCGCCACCGATTCCCTAACAGCGACGCCTAATTCTGCCGCCCTCTGCCTTATCTCGTCTCCTTCTTTTGATCCCATCAATGTTTTCAGTACTTTCGAAATTGTTGATGAATCTACAGTTTCATCTTGGCAACTCAAATTCTTCACACTTAAACCAATTTTTAGCACTTCTGTAATTAAAATACTGTTTCTTGGCTGATCAGAATGCATTGGCCATGCAGCAATTGGCACCCCCATTGTAATGCTCTCCATGCATGAATTCCATCCACAATGACTCATAAATCCTCCTGTTGATGGATGCCTTAAAATTTCCAACTGGGGTGCCCAATCTCTCACCACAATGCCCCTATCTCGTATTCGATCATCGTACAGTTCTGAAGTATTTGGTAAGGCATACTCGATAGTACCCTCTGGTGTATCTGTATTCGAATCTCTCATTACAAGGCCCCTAACTTTCTCTTCGTATGCTTCTGGAGTATTTGATAAGGTAAATTGGATAGTATGAGGCAAATCAACTGTGCTCGTTTCGCCTGCAAAAATGTCTCCTCTGTCTGCATCTCTCAACACCCAAATGAACTTCACTTCGCTTCGTTCTAACCCGATTTTGAGTTCTTTGATTTGTCCATCCGTTAATGAAGTCGTTGTACCAAAAGAAACATAAACTACAGATTTTGGAGCTTGTTTATCAAGCCATTCCAAGCATTTATGGCGGCCATTGCCATTTTTTGTATTCGCCAACTCCACTGGATTGAATGGCCCTATAGGCCAATACTTTTTATTCCCTTTATTTAATGCTTTTTCGAGTAAATTAATGTATTGTCCTTCTATAACTTTACAGGAATTGTAAAGAATTCCAGAACTTAACTCTTGAAATTTATGTTCAGTGGCAATGAAATCAAGAAATTCTATTGTAAAGCAATTTTCAAGTGAAGGGGTTTTTTCAAGAATCTTGTCTTCAACTGGAAAAGACTTTTCCTTGGTTTCCCTGAAAAACCCAAACATGGCAAATGCTGACACACTATGAAAAACATAGGATTCAGCATTTGATATTGAACTGAAATCTTGAACAACAGATGACATTAAAGAGTCATGAATAACAATAACTCTGTGTGCAGTAGGTGAAAGAGAAAGTAGGAGAGAGAAAACTGGCAGGCGGAGGTAAGAGAGTGAATCAAACAAAGGTTGAAGATGTGATGGGAATTTGTTGTTGGAATTAGGGTTAGGAGGAGGAGATTGAAATTCTGGATTTGGGAATTCATGGAAATGAACGAGAGAGTCTCGGTCGTCAATGATGGAGCGTAGCTTCACCTGGCGGTTGTGGGTGGCGGTGGTAGCATAGTGAACGGGTATGTTGTAGGCGGCGATGAGGCGGGAGAGGTGGAGGAGCTGGTGGAGATGGCCTTGTGCTGGTAGAGGCACCATCAAAACCGCTACTTGGGATTTTTTAAAGCCATTTTGATTCTTCTGGTAATGATTGGAAGAAAAACAGGCCATGGATCACAAGGTTTTCTTTAAGAATTTTCTTGCAAAAAACCTTTGATCTTTTTATGCTTCACAATGTCTTGCCAAGGTTTATATGTCAAGAATATATAGAGAAATAAACGACAGACCAATTTGAGATCCACTACATGGATTCTCTTCTGCCATTATGTTTGCTTAATCACTATTTTAGTTTCATATTAGTTTTGATTACATTTCACCTAATTGGCTGATGAAGTTTGGATATACTGGCTTCATTGTTCATCTCCCTTTATGTTGACGTGACATATAGTTTTCATTTATTGCATAATATTTATTGACAACCACCTCAAAAAGTTGTACCATACCTGCATTTTGTTGTTCAAAGTAAATGTCTGCATGTTGGTGGTTATAATGAACACGACTACACGAGAACAAAATATGATAAAATTTGTCATTTATTTAGTGTAGTTTTATATAGTTCAACTTACTAAACATGCAATATTTTATACTTTTCCTTCACAAACAAACAAAATTTTCCTATATTTTTCTTTATATAAAAACTTGGAGCGAGATGTTTGATTAGACAGTGTTGAAAGAGTCGAAAGATAGTACCTTGCATGATATTTACAGTGGTCATAATCCTTGCTCTATTATGTTCTCGTACCACACAAAACTATGAATTCATATACAAAAGCTAGTTTAAATTGTATTGACAGTCATCTATCTTTTACCATAATTGTAATTGCAGTCGGCCAATGAACTTCAATTTATGAAATCGTTTGAACAAATTTTCACATTTTACAATACATTAAAACCTAAAAATCCATTAAAATTTTCGAGCTCCCATCATTTTTCGAGATCCTCTTCAGAGTCTTTTCCTGGATCCAACTTGTGCGCCTTGCTAAGAGTAAAACCCTAACAAGTGAGAATTTTAACCGAGACAAAATGACCTCATCAAATGTGGAGTTATTAAGGTCAAAAATGAAAAATCCCTAGACGTGGGGAGAAAGAAAGTGGTTTCTATACGAAGAAATTGAGAAAGGACTTGTCGGCACCCATATGAGTAGGGATGACAAAAAAACTCGTTCAATCAGATACGTGTGGAGTCCTGTCCCGAATGGGGAGGGGATCACCCGCCTAACTAGATAAACGGGCAGGAGGGGACGAAGTCATTGCCCCGAAATGAGTATGGGACGGGTACGTAAAATATAGTCCCCGAAAAAATAAATGGGGCAATGGACCTACCCCGCCCCAACCCAAACTAGTCCCATCCCGCTCTAACCTGATATGGGGAATTTGATAGAGATTAAAATTAGATTTTTAGTAGATTGTAATAGAAGTTTTTGAAAGATGTTGTTGAACAGTTGTGAGACCCATAAAAGATGTGTTTGATATTGATTGTTTGACTTTGATTTGGATTAAAATCAGATTTTAATTCAGATCAAACAGGGGTTAGGTAACAAAAATAATCGAAGGGACATGGTGAAAATGATCGACCATTCCTATACCCATCCCGTTGCTATCTGTACGAGGGAATTTAATGTGGTGCAGTCCCACTTGTGATTAGGATTAACTAAGTCTGACCTACTTTTACGTTGTCAAAAAGGGGCCACAAATAATTTGGCCAATGTTCACGGGACCAACTTTAAGACTCTGTTACAATGTCGCTTTCGTTAAAACGGTGCTCGTTTTCACAGTACAAACTATAGTCTATAATTGAGTTCCGCATAAGCCATGACCAAATTCTACTATTCTACTGGTAAATGTCCAAAAAAATTGTAAACTTATCAGCAAATTATATAAATATCACGGTTATGACAATTACAAAGTTCTCTCTCTAATTTAAAAAAAGTGAAAAATCTCCCTTACGATGTTTACTTTTCGAATCATGCTACATGTACAGAATTTGTTCACAAAATTCCTTCATAGATTACAGCAGTTGGCATCATTTCATTAGAAGTTCAAATAAAAAAAAAGATCCAATGAGGTGCTGTGTACATCGGTGAAGGAAAAGCCTGTATATAATTTGTTTCTCTTTCTTAGTATTTATTAATATTTTTTTGTATACATTTAATGTAGCCCTTGTTTGAAAATGATTTTCTAGAAATCATTTTTCCCTACTTTTTAACAAAACAATTTGATGGTGTCACTTTAGCTAAGAAAAATTGCTATAATATAATTTTAAAAATTTTAAATATGATTTTTTTTTTCCCTTGCAAATATGATTGACAAGTAATTAACAAGAATCTGTATAAATAAATGTTTTAGAATAATTTAATAAAGGTAATTGAAATTTCATTTATATTACAGCATTTTCTCTAATCTTTATTTTTCTTTATAATTATGACATTTATACTATATTAATATTAGAATGTTCAACATTATCATAACATTAAGCCCTGTTTGGTCTCCACATTTTTCCCCTTCAAACTCATTTTCAACCACACATTTTATAGAACCCACAACTTTTATTAACATTTCAACTACAAATTTCACAATTTTCATCAAAATCTACTAAAAATTTAATTTTTATCCAAACCAAATAGGGCTCAACATGTTAATGTGAAAAAAATTGGTATCAAAACTTTATAGCTTTGATATCTTTTGAGTTCATATCTGTAATATGTTAGAAGAATTTTAATTTGTTCATTTTTATCGAAAAATCAAAACTCACAAATATATGATAAATATAAATCACTGTATCTGTTTGCTACATATAACAAAATATAATCATGCATACGTAAGGAGAGAAGGGCAAAATGGAAAATTATGCTAGGAGGGAAGGTTTCTGAAATTTTTAAAATGGAAGGACAGTCTTGTCCTAATCCTCATGGAATTCTTTCTAATTTACTCTAAACTTACACAAGTATGTCTGTTTGCTACATATAACAAAATCAAAATGTATAGCTTGTTTATTTTTGACAGTTTTCATCTTGAAGTTTCCTGCTTTCAGCAGAATCCATCATCCAATGCGCATTTAAACATATAGAGAAAATGAGAAAAAAAAATGTTGATTTTATGTCTGTCGTCCCAAAAAAGAAAAAATAATTTATGATAAATCTTGTACCATAATGTTTCATCGACGTATCAAGGGCTGCAGAGATTCTTAAGGTCCTCTTCCTGAGCATACCAGTTTGGTATTATCTTCGAAAGGTGGGGGTATAAATCCTTGTAAGAATTTCTGATTGTCCCTTCGGCAACTCCAGTTGCAAGAGATACATCTACAAAAATTTACTATATTTAAGAACGAGCATATAATGCAAAATAAAGAAGAGAGAAAGATAGCTAAAAACAAGTAATATTGCTAGTCTTTAACATGATTATGTAATGATTTGGAACAACATAATTTGTAAAAATCGGCAACTTTAGATCGTCTGTCTGCCCATCAACAGTGCAAGTTACCTTTGAGGGGCTTTTTTTCATCAGAAAGCTGAGTAACTATATAAATAACTGCTGCAGCAATTGATATAGGACTTCTCCTGAGATGAAAAACGAATATAATTGTTAGCAACGGGACCTTAGGTGTTAACACAAAAATTTGTTATTTCAGAAGCTTTAGATGGGCATGAGCTATTGACATATAAAAAGGAGTCAACTTAAAGGATCAGACCGAGAGACTGGGTCATCATAGTTTTAATCCCATCCCTTGAATAATGCTTCACAACAACCCCATCCCTTGAATAATGCTTCACAACAACAATTTGTATTATTTCCAATAAATCTGGGACGAATAAATGACTCCTCATTCGCCACTGCACTCGGTCCATCACTACATCTAATGACAGATCTAGTGAAACCAGATCCTTCAAAACCACAATAGGCAACGTTTGGTCTATGTTCCAACATTTTGTACTAGGATTGCATAACTCTTGAGAAGGAGCTTGATTCAGTCTATACAATAAAAGCCCCAATCAATTAAGTCCTTGTTCTCTTAATTCATCCAAGATTAAGGACACCTCCACTTGTTGTCATATATTCTTATTACCTTATCCATCCCAGTATAAATAGGCATCCATCTTAATATCATTCTAGTTCCATTCTGTGTGCTTTAACAGCCCAACTTTCAGTACTACCAAACATTGTACTGATGACATTTGATTTAAATGACAAGCTAATATTTTTATACACCCTTCAGGAACTAGTCCTATTGCCAGGTAAACGTGTATCCTCTCTCGTAATGTATACCTTTATTTTATTTGATGATGCCCCAATGTTTCCTAAGTTAGCGGAGGAAAAAAAAAATTAAGAGTACCAACCTACCTTATGTCAAACTCCTCTGATTTTTGAACAGCTTCTTGGGCAGCTTTAACTGTTTGATTTGTCATCCCAAGATTTGAACAAAACCGCCTCTGGGAAATTAAATGGAGCAAAAACAGCACAGTCATAGAGGTTATAAGATGCTGCCAATTAATTCCCCTATTTTCCCTCCATCTTTTGGAGAAAAGAGGCAGAGTGTTTTGTTTCAAAGAAAACTCACCATAAAATCCCCAGCATGTATAGTCCCTATTTCCACTGATTGACCCATTTCAAGCTCAAGTTGTTTTACAATGTATTCTTTTGCTCGGCCAATTTCCTTCTTTGTTGCTCCATTGGCAACAGAGCAAATTTCTACGAAATACAGATTCAGGAGAGCTCATTCGCATAGATAAATCAGGAAGCATCTGAATAATAAAATCTTAGGTTGTACCCTTAACAGTGCGAGGCTTGTCTTCTTGTCGACAAGCAATGTACAAGCAAGCAGCTAATATAGCATCCTGGTTTCTTCCTCGACTAGACTTCTGATCTTCTACCTTCTTGTAAATCTCATTAGCCCGATCCTACAAAGTAAATTGAAAGCTCCATCAGGAAAAAAAAATATATAACCTAGAAAACAGTAGAGAGTAAATAAATAGAAGTGCATTAAACCAATTATGGTTTTAAAATAGATCGAAAAGGAGCCATATGACAAGACGCAATCACTTCTAGGCAACAATTCAAGTATTAGAAAAAAATTTAACCATACATTTCCAGCATCGAATTCTGGAGATGAAAGACCACTATTTGGAATAAAAATAGGGAGATGAAAGTGTGTCCTAGCAACAAACATAAAGAATCTTTGCAATCCTAGGTCACTAAAGAGAAATCCTAGTTTCGGATTGAGTCATTGCCCTTACAAACAGAGACCGGAGAAGGTATCAGCCAGAGAAGGATGCTTGAGAAGACCGAATCGGAGTTTGAAGAAGGGGAGGGAGAAGGAGCACTTTACCAGAAACAGATAGAGGAGGATGCCAATGACGATATCAATCGTGGCCCTGATACAGCGCTGGAACTGCTAACTACATCAATGGCCAGCACTAACTTATTGCACAATATAATTGTGATGACCAAGATTTCTTCCATCAAAAATAATTTGCTCACTAGTTGACAGGAATTGTAGGATCGAGTCTATGACTAGAACTTAATACATAAATGAGAACTTTTGTTCACCCGATGTTGGAAACAGTTCTGTTCTACAAGTGCTCAAACACAGCAATTAAGTAATTCTTTCAAATTTTAGTACTTCTTCATTTGACATGATGTTATAAAACCTGCCACTTAGAGAAAAGTAATCTAGCATGGTACTGTAAAATAGTCAACTAACTTCACCGACAAGATAAACCAACCACAAATCCATGTAAAACTACCGCAAACTCAATGGGAGAAAAACATTTTTGTACAAGTCCAAGTCACACGTCAAGTATTCTTCACGCAATCATCTACAGAGTAATTGCTACATACTTCTCAGTCCATAAAATTTTTACACTTTCCACAAATCAGAAACTGAGTAAATAGACGAAGAAAACTGAAAAGTCGTATTACCCAACTCAAAAATGAGCAAAACTAGATAGTCATGCCTCTCTCCATGGGGGAAAAGAAAAATAACACCTACTTTTAGCAAATTGATCCAATTAAGCTACCAAAAAATAAATTACATCAAATTAATCAGGTTCGAAATATTGGTCTCATTTAAGCAACCGATAAAAGAATTACTTATGCGCAGACAGGCAACGATGGGTAAATAAGATACCTTTATTGTTGCAACAAGGCCCAACCTGAAAGGAAATTGGGTACATCAGACAACAAAATTGCCATTTTAAATAGGATCATGCTACTCAAGCAGATAACTTTGACAGGGAATATTGACATACAGCACTTGGTGTGCATTCATTGGAAGATGGAAAAAAAAAAATTTTAAAAGGCGAATCACAATTCGCCACATCAGCTCTATCAACTTTCCCTGTCAAACTCCTTAATTCTTTTAAATATCAAGATGTAAGGAACAGAAGCAAGCTGGTAAACAGATGTAAAGAAGGCAGTAAGACACATCCACAGAACAGTGGAAGATTTTGATTTATATTGTACTTCATATTTTGGAGGGAAATAGATTGAGTCCAAACATCCTGAAAATCCTTGACTACAATCATATTTGAACAAGAATGGCCAAAGCAAATAAAATAACTGTTTTCTAATTGATTTTCAAGTTAGGTATGACTAAGGTTGTGAAAGTTATTTTCCAATACAGAAAAATAAGATGAAAAGCGTTATCTCATGCTAAAGGTAAAGCACACTTTATGTAACTTCTTAACCAAAGAAAGAAAGGAAAAGAAAATAACAGCCACAAAATGACGAATTGATTCCTCAACCAGATTCTTCGAGTTTCATTGTTAAGAAAGAAAGCATATAATTAACACACCATTAACAAAGTTAACAAACTCCAACAGATTCTAACAGATTTAACAACAGGGGCAGCTTAACAGAAACTACTGTTCTTTTTAACAATCAATGTTATTCATCCGTATCTAGGGCACAACCGCACGCGTAGACATTGACCTCTTTGTGCATGTATTAATTCAAAAACTTTCCAGATTTCTATGTAGCAGACTTAAAGATCAAAACTTTAAAATAAACATCTGAATAAACACATGAAATAATGTAAAATCGGCAACCCGTTAAATAATGCAGCAAAATTGTTTATCTTCATAGGTCTTATTATTGATTTTTGTATTATATCAACAGCAAAAGCTTAGACTCTAGACAAAACCAATAGACAAAAATTTGAGCAAAGGAAAATTATTCAGAATCCAACTGCAGAAACTCTTGGTTTGACTGAAACAGAAGAAAAAAGGCATTAGAAACTGTTCAAAGATACTATCAAACAGAGAAATAAAAAAAAGTTTCTCTCTTTTTCGAAAATGCAAGCCCCAAAACTTTACTCCTGCGTACATTAAATTACCACTTATTAGAGGATCCAAAAATACAGAACTAGAAAGAAAAGAAAAGAACAAAATTTTCATCACAATTCACACGGATCAATAATACCAATTCTAGCAAAAGAAAGAAAGAAACCGCGATCAAGACTGCACCTTGTTCTTCCAAAATCAAACTCCCTTCATCTGCAAGACCTAATATCTCAACAAAAATCAAAATTAACTCCAAAAATGAATACCCGGTACCTATCCGACATAGTGGCGATCGTTTTAAACGCAAGGATAAGCGACCGATCAGGATTGGACCCACGATTCTGCCAGCGACCGAGAGAAGACGACAAAAAGTCACTTGTGGTCCCATTCGGCTTAGAAATCACGGTCGACAACCCTCCATCTGAGAGAAGCGGGTTCGTCGGGCCACCAACACGGACTGGGTCATTGTCCCCAGACTCATTAGCGAAGGTACGCCACTCGGAAGTCTCATCAATGGAGTGTGACTCCAACACCAGCCCGCACTCGGAGCACACAGTATCCCCCGCCGAATGGTCGAACACCACCTCCGTGCTCTTCTTGCAGTCGGAACAATACGCATCTCCCATGTCAAAATTGAATTTGAGCTGAGAATTAATGGTGAGTGGAATTCAATTTCTTACAAAACTAGGATTCGGAAATGGTGCAAGATCGAAAAAGGGAATGGGATTTTGTTTGGTTTTTCTGTTAGGAGAGTCATGGAGGTTTCATGCTTGGGTGGAATTTGTCCACAGGCTTTGTTTGGATTTTATTCCCAAACATCAAGATATACACCCTCCTCACATGGGGTGGAGCTCACTTCAATAAAAAAATATTTTACACAAGTGGATCCCACCCCCATGTGAATGGGGTGTACACCCTTATTTATAATTCTTGATGTATAAGTAGAATAATTCTTTTTATTTTGTAACATTTTTATCAACTTTTGAATAATTCAAAACAAAAACATAGAGAATAAAATTTACGTTGAACTCAATAGCGGAATTAGGGATTTTGATTAGGGGGACCTATGCGGTTAACACCCTACGATGGTCTACAGTCTATACCAAACTACGGTTTAGTAGTGTAAAGTTACATTTGAAATATGATATAAAAATAATTTTCATTTTATATGCCATTTTGTGTCAACGGTACCATGTTATATTTATGGATAATGCTATGTGTATACCTTGTGGTGTACACAATTTTTTACACCCCCTCACATGGAGGGGCTCACAAATATTTTATTGTATGTGAGCATCCCTCCATGTGAGAGAGATATAAAAGATTGTGTAAAATATTGTGTACACATAACACAATCCTATATTTATCTGGTTAGCTAATTCTCCCTTAATCACACCATATCAAATTAATACATCTCATTATATGAGTTTAGAATGGATTATTTGGTCTTCATAATTGATTGGGACAATTGGCGCAAAATATCCCGTTTGTCTTCACTGCACAATTAATTCTTATCATTTATTATTGACATTTGGACCTCAAGTCGTCCATTATTTGCATAAATTTTCCTTTCTGTCCGGATCCTCCATTTATTCTATTACATAGGCATGTACTTTGTACATGACACGAGAAAGACAATCTTGCCTTGAAATTTTAAATAAATGAGAAAAAATGGAAAGGCAAAACAAAAAATGAAAAAAAGGGTAAACGGAAAGGCCAAAAAAAAGTCTGAATCTTCTCCAAACCCCACCCACCCCTGCCCAACCGCCTTCCACCACTAGTCCTCAAACACAGTACACTATGCAACATTATCTGCTTTCTTATCAACATGTTCTCAAAATCTGTAATTGTATAATCTTGATGGACACTGGTAGGGAAGGACACAAGCCCAACAGTTTCAACTTATAACATGGCAAAAACAGAAACCAATCTGCAGGAAAGTAAAAAAAAACCACCACCACCATAGATTACATGTTTGATACATGGTATTAGATTGAACTACATAAGATAACATGACAAAATCTTAACGTCTCTGTCTTTCTTATAATTCACAATACTGTCCAGTCAACCTATCAAAGATGTTGAGCATGCCCATGATTTTCACAGAAGAATCAGTTTGTGTGTGATACCAGAATCTCAAAAAATATTGACATGGACGATAATTGTTTTATCAAACACCTGTAAATGGCCGGTCCCGAGAAGGAAGGTCATGGAAGGACAGGAAGTTCCACTTTGGTGAATGAAAAGAAACTGACGCGCCCATGCTCGACATTACAAAACTTTATACAATGGCCTTTGTAACGTGTCTCAAGGTCCTCGGTCGCTTGTTTAGATGGTGGGTGGTCACTACATAAGAAACAATGCCATCAAATAATAGCTTCAGTAGACTAACACATTAACGGTATACGCTGCGGTTAAACCAAACAGGAAAAACTGACTATTATGAAATGTCCAATTATGTGGCTGAGTATTATGATAATGTTCCAAAAATTCAAATTAATTATAGTTGCAGAATGTGTTGTTTCTATATTTAGTGCCTGTTTGAACCTCATTTTTGCCCCCAAAATGCAATTTGGAAGAGTATTTTGAGGTAGAATGTCTTATTAAAAAGTAAGAAAAAGTTTTGGATTGACGTATAATATTATTTTATTGAAAAATGTGTGGTTAAAAATAAGAGAGAAAAATGTATTTTGAAAATAATAGGGACTAAACAAGGGCTTAAATTTCATTAAAACATAACGGGAGAGAGATGGGAGGAAAAATATAATTCATAAGCAAAACCCAAGTGCAGGGAAAAAAAATTTATTATATAGTTGACTCAACTTCTCAAATAAAATCAGTAAAACATCTTATGAATAAGTAAAACCATATCCATTTAGAGATGTCAAGACGGTAGTTACCCAGCAAGGCAGAGAAGAAAACACGGACTACCAGGAGAAGACTTCTTAAACTTGCTATTAGGCGGGTAAACATCGAAAATTGTTCTCACTTCACTAAGCTGCAAGTTATTGAGCATTTCGGTAATGATAATGTCGTGTCTTGACCCATTACAACTTGTCCCATCAAGTTCAGATGCACCATTTTCAGCAATGGAATTAATTTTAGTACTCCTAGAAGTCCAAGGGATACCATGCCGGCCAACAATGTAACCAAGAGATTTTAAGTGGCGATAAATTTCAAAAGACTCCCAAGAGCATCCATATCCATCTGTACCTTTAGCAACCTTTTCATATAAATCTTTTAAGGAAAGGTATGCATCATCACCATTCAAGACATGCAAAGCTCCAATTTCAGCCAAAAACCTACGAAACCAGCATAAGATATTATACTACGAGGAGCATATAATGCTTAAGTTGATGAAGGATGGAGGTGGGCTAAAAAATAGTTATGCCAACTGATCCCACTAAACAATAAAACATGCTTAAATACATTTATCTAATCCATATTAATTTGTGTACGTCTTTTTATATAATAATTATGAGCTGTTAAAGGTTTCTGTGAAGATAATCCAAAGAATTTAATCTTTTACTAGTTCATTAGATATGAAATTACTAATTTCCGTTCACACTGAATTATAATCTTACAAACTTGGATGACTGCTAACTTTGCATTTTCAACTACATTTTCATATCTATTATAATCACATCTTTACAAGGTATGAAAGCTTCGCACCAGAATCAGTTCCCATAATCTCCAAAATCTCCAGGATGGGAGCTTCATGGTATTAGTAATTTCGATCATTAGAACTGGAGCCATCATCAAGGTAAGAAAATTATTTTTTGACATCAAGATTGACTAAAGAGCATTAGAAGTTCACAACATTCACCCGGTAAACTACTGTTTCATTGCTAATAAAACCCCTAAATAACACCAACAATTTTAAAGTTACAATCACCATTTGATCATCTCATATTATAGTTTGACATATAATGCACCACATCGAATTCAATAATAATTCACTTTATACTTCTATTTCTACCTAGTGGTTCATGAACAAGTGTGCAAAGAGAGAGATGTGTTCAAAAAATGTAAATTTACGGCATTGCACATAATAATGACAGGAGAGTTTGCATAACCTACAAAGCCTCTTCGATAGAGCTGTATATTTTGCCATCACGAACCATCCCAGTTGTGGTCCACATTTTACCCTTGCGCTCCACCACCTCAGCAATTCCCAACTCCTCAATCCACCGTGCCTTCGACACATCTTTCCTTCACAAAACAAAAAATATTTCCATTACAAAACAACACATTCATAAAAATAAAAAAAGTACAAAATGATTCCTCTCGTTTAACAATTATATACCTGAATTGCAGCTTGGGGATGCCACCAGAGGAATAGCAAAGTTCATCATCAACTAGGTCCTCCACATAACCCTCAGAATCACTATCACAATCATTTCTTCCTTCAGAAAACCTCAATCTCTCCTTCTCATCCTCTTCCATTGCTCAATTTAATGCAATTCGGAATCACTATAAACAAAACCGACAAAAAAAATTGAAACTTGAGTTAAAATTACATGAACATTTTAAAGATAAAGAGTACAATTGAACTAACACTCAAAAAGAGCTGCATCTTTGCAGAAACAACGTTTATCTAGTTGAGGTATTGAATCAAACACCTAGCATCCTATGTCGAAATTAAATCATTCACCACACTCAAACAGTGCGAAATCAACGAATAAAGCCTGTTTTTACACAAACAAATAGTATATTACCTTCCAAGTTTGTTAAAGAAGAAAACTTATCCTCGTAGAAATCACTGCAACACAAGATAAAATTGGTCCTTTTGCCCTCTCCGCAGTAAATAGAAATTGTTGTCAATTTGTACTTAGTCTGCACTCTTAGCAGTTAAGACCCTGATTGTTCGAGTTAAATGTTAAAACAGTCACTGAACTTTGCACTTTGTTACGGCTTACTCACCCGACTTTAAAAAGCTTCCCAATGACCACTGAACTTAGTTCCGTTGCACTCCATCACTCGACGAATGGAGTCGGTCTCTGATTGTCTACATGGAAGGCGAAAAAAGTACGTGATTAATTATGTCCAGATGTTAAACCAAATGTAAATGTTCAATTCCAGCTCAGCCAAACACATATTAACAATTAAACTCAAAATCACGTTTTTCTTCGTGTAAATAACCAATCTTGTAAATAACCCATTGCTCAATACCAGAAATGGATTCAGGAAATTTATCTGGTAGCAAATTTATGATTGTGAGGATGCCAATAAACCTTTTCTACTCCACTCTTCAAACTATCGCTGACCAAGTCCAGTTTAGTTTTCTTCCTGAACATCCTCACAACCATGCTAATTCCTAGTGTGATTAGATACCGAGGAATCCATCAGATTAGTGATGGGGTGCAACGGACCTAAATTCTATTCGTAATGGGCAGATTTTTGAAGTTAGGTGATTAAATCGTGACAAAGTGTAAAGTTCAAATATTTAACTCCTAATTGTTCAATATAAAATCCACCCGAGAGAATTGGTGAGCTGGCTATTTAACCTTGTCATTTCTCTAAATGAACCAAACAAGACATTGACCCACGGAAGATAAATTACCCCGTAAAAATCAATCGATCCGACAACTCGAAAATTTTGTTTGTGCTTTTCTTGCTAAATATTGTGTACAAAATTGGAACATACGTTTTTACCAAACAAACCGTCTCATTTTAAACTAAATGGTCTTCTATGTTTTCAATTATTTTCTTCATGATCTTCTCTTTTCTTTAGCCTTCGGACTACGTATATTAGAAAAAAAGTATAGTGCCTTGCGACGTGTAATTGTGGCCTAAAATTGCAACACTTTTTGTGAAAAATTGACAGCAGTAGAAATATCGGGATATAGAGGAGAAAATGTAAAATGAAGGTAAAAACATATAACTACTAGAATTAACTTCCATCTTCGCAGGACCACCAAAGTATGATCATTACTGGCACAGCCAAGCATTTTGTACAGTGTTCATACATATATATTGAACCCTCAAAGACATGCAGCAGGCAACCACGACGTACTTTCACAAGCTTCGAGCAACCTTTTCGTACAAATCACGAGGCCAGTTTGCATTTAAATTGTTCGCGAGAAAGTTGGCAATCTGCAAAATAAGGAAATTTCAGTTGGATTATGCAAACAGAAGTAGAGATCACGAAAATATCCAAATATCGAGTAAAAGTGATAAAAGAATGCACCACGAAAAATAAATTGATTTAGACGACTTAATCAGCAAAAAAATTGAAACGTACTTTAGCCCTCAAGGCACGAAGTGATCCATCCGTATCAGTGACATTGTCCAGACAATGAAGAGCAACTTTGAGAAGGTCAGGCACACAAGCCTGGACATTTGGCGACAAATTATTTAAGATATCAGTGGAAACATCTGGTGCCCTTGGATCTAAAGGAAGAAACGGGAGTTTGGCGACTTCCCTCAACGCATCTAATTGATTTCCTGTATTCGCCAGCTTATGGATAGATAAGATGGCCTCGAGCTGTCTAAGCACAATTTGTTGCTCCATAACATTTGCTCTCTCTTGAGGACTGCATAATTGAATGACATGGCATCTTAGTCCATAATATAAATAAAGAAATGCAGAAAAATCATCTGAATAGAAAACTTTAGAAATTCAATATGATGTATTCTAGACAATCGTGGATAACAACACTTCTGCATAAATCAGGTCAGACGTTAACATATCAGAAAAAGGAATTTACATTTTCGAAAGCACAACATAATGTTCACGGTACTTCTGCAGTTTTCAAAAATATTACGAAAACAACAATTTTCAGATGAACCTCTAGGGAATTTTACTTTAGTGCAATGTCCCCCGCCCATTCCTTGAGCATTCTCTAAAACTAGTAAACCTCCTCACAATTATGAAATAGGCTGTTTGGAGCGAGCTATTACCACTGTTAAATTCGCTAACAACATAAACTCAAACCTTTCAGTTTCATAACCAAATAACTTCCATGTGGTTTACAAAGTTGGCTAATTGCACCCTTGTGCTTCTTTCAAAGTTTGTTTTGATTTTTACCGCCACGGCAAGAGTCCGCTTAGCATGTTAATCCAAGTGGATTCATCAAGAGTTTAGTCAGCCGCATTTCACAACCATAAGATGTAGCAATATCAAAAGTTACCGGAGCAAACTAATATTTCAACAAAGAAAGTGATCAACGTCAGTGCAAAAGCACTATCTAGTAAATAAATTATAATTTAAAGGAAACAGAAACAAAATATATATAGAAAGAAAGAAACCTTATTTCGGGGTAATATTTGAAAGTCTCCAAAATCTCGTTTCCAGAGTGAATAAGCCCAGTAATCCGGCTTTCACCATCCAATCTACCACGTGACAGTGAACAAATGGCTTCAGCGAGGCACTTGTTTATTGTATCCAAAGCAGCAGAAAATGCACCGATTCTTTTCTGAATTTCTATGGACTAAGTTTTTATGTTCAAGAATACAAAAGTAGTCAGAAGGGCTAGTAAACTCAGAACAATAAACTTCTAATGATTTAACGTTGGCGAGAGGTAACATAAAGAAGTAACATTATTAAAGATTAATACTATCAATAATATAGGTGTCAAATTTTGGTGAGCCATTACTTTGTCATACAAGCCGACATCTTGACAGTGCCGAGCAGCTTCAAGCAGAAACTGCTGTCTTGTGTTCCAATCAGTCAAAAATCTTCCCAAATGACCTTCTCCAGCACCTCTTGGGCCAAGTAAGAGATCAATACCACCATCATGTAACAGAAGCTCCGCGAAGAGTTGTTTTAACATCAAGATCCTCTGCCTTTGCTGATCAACACTGCCTCTACCCATCCATGATAATTGCCCACCACCCACTGCTGCAGCAGCTTGTACATAATATTCAAGTGCCATTGACAGGTCATCAGAGCGCAGATAGACAGTTCCATACTGTCTAATTATACTAGATGCCTCTGCAGAAGCATCCATCACCCCTAGTTTTTGCCCTGAACCAGAGCCTTCAGAAAGGATCCCGTGGTCTGCAAACACAATTGCCATATGGACACCATCAATGTTATATGCTTCACCTCCCATATCTTTGGACAGATAGAGAACTGCCGGAAGCAGCTGAATGCTTAAAAGCAAAATATATGGATACACCAGAGGGTCCTTTCCGTTCTTTGTATAATACGATGGCTCAAACTTGTTTAAGTAAGCCTGCAAATCATCCAAGCTGTAAGGTGATATTCCATCATTTAGGACTAGGGAAGAAGACGATCCACTAGAGCAGTCGCGTATAGCTGACAATTTAAACCACAAGAAATCCTCTATGGTATTAAAGATAGTAGGCAGTTCTCTAAGTATCCGGTCTATGTGTCGGCGAGAACCAGATATTATGGCATATAGGAGTAACTTTTTCTTGTCATATGAAGCTCGACCTACTCGGTCACCCATCCTTAACATTTTGTCACATTCTTCAGAAGCGGCAGCTGCGGTTTCTACTGATACCATACCTCCAGTAGTTATCCACTCATTGAGCTATCAAGATATGGAGATAATAGAATTAAGAAAAAGAAAAAGGGGTACAATCCTGAAGAAGCAAGCAACTTAATCAGTGCATACCAGAGGAGCAAATTGCAGTGACACACGAGATGTCCGTGAAACCTCTCTTGCATCACTATGATACCCAGTTCTCAGGCAAAAGTATATCTGTTACCAAAAATGGGGAAAAAAGGTTTTCAAGACAAATCTTAATAAATAATTGAACCTGAATTGTTTCCAGTAGGTCACAAAATTTTAACCTACAACGAAGATGCTTTCTAGAACAGCTTTTGTTTGGAATATTACTACTAAAGTAACGTATGGAAGTGAGTTTTTTCTTCTAGAACAGCTTTTGTTTGGAATATTACTACTAAAGTAACGTATGGAAGTGAGTTTTTTCTTCTATCTCTTGATCTTTTTAGTACTAGTTAATCAACATGAGAAGATAAGACATCGCATATCTAAGTTATGTTAACGTCATGTGGCCCTATCTATCAGCTTAAAACTTTTTAAAATCAAGTAATTCAACATGGTTTAGTAAGCAAAGGTATTGGGCTCAAGTCATGTTGCCACCCATTTATTTGAATTGTGAACATGCTTGGCTTCAATGAGAAAAAATCAACCATGCCTACAAGTGAGAAACCATGTTGACAATATTTAAATGATATAACGTGATCCTATCTAGCAGTTTAATCTTTTAGATCAAGTATCATATGGAAGATTCCAAAGCATTCACAGTCAAACCATATACAAGAAACTGAAGTTTGATGAAATTGAAATGTAAAATTGATTGAAAATAGGACTTCCACACGTTTATAATTCAATCAAGACTAATGAAATACACTGATGTATAAGATTACATTAATTTTAAGGCCTTGTCCAGGGTAGGCATAAGAAACATCTATCTATTCTATACAATCAGAAGAAAGTATCAAACCTGTTGCCAAGTGGTATCGACAGGAGGCTGTCGACGGGCATCACCTGCATCGAAGTCAAGAACACCATAATCCCTTAAACGAATCTGCAAAATACAAAATAGTAATGACAAATTAGCATTCTTTTTGCAACTTGCATATTTTCAGTAACTGCAGTAAATCTGACAAACCCGAAGGAAGGCACGGATTCTTTGCAAATTTCCAACAGCCCCACCAAGAGCAGCCTACATTATCAGCACATAAACGTGATGAATGTGGCTTAAAAATACAGTGAAGTTCTTTCATTACAAAGTGCAGAAATAAGATATGGATATGTTAGGGAAGCATCCAAAACTACTTCAAAAGGCAAAAGGTCGCAAACATATTCCTATTTTTACTGTCATTAAGTAAATAATCTAACAAGCCATATTACTACATACGTGAGCACCAAGCAGCTTGACAGAAATAAAATTTCAAGCAATTCGTAATACAAGGAAACATAAACAGTAAGAAATACACCTGTGCATGATGACCCTGAATCGTATCCATCAAGTATTTTTCATGTCCCCATTCAAGGTGACGCCTTGCTCCCATCACTAAAGACATTTTCTTGGGAACATTCCATTGAGCATTTGAATCCTCGCCCATTAATGTCTGTCAGTCTTTCAATTTATCAGCAACAAAATTATGTAACATTTTTTTTATAAAGAGAGCTGCGACTCCTACGGAGAAAAGAAATGACATTCCGCATCAAAATAACAAATTAGTGAAATAGTGGCACTATACCAAAATAAGATGCCACATCTTCTGCATGCTAACAGATTTTGCACCAGATGTGTCAATGTTCAGACCTTCGTATGCATGCTTGAAAGCTGAAGCAGGCTGCCGATAGTGAACAATCAGTTAATATGACATGAATCGTGATTTACTTGCGAATGAACCAAGTCAACTAATAAGAAAAGGCATGCAGTACAGCTATAAATCAGACAAACTGCACAAGAATCTACTGAAAAAATATTATATAAAAATGAGGGAATATTTGGTGTAAAAGAAAATAGTAGAAGAGTCAAAACTTCTGGTAGGAAACAGAACCACCAAAACCACACATCATATCAAGCTTGAAATCTTATATGTATTATTGAGATGACTAATATTTAGTCTCTAGTGACATCAGGCATTGAGCTTTTACTTTAAAGGGTAACCCACGCTCTCTTGCACTGTTAAGATTCTTCACAACTTCAGCATATGCTGCAGCTTTGCTCTCAAGAATGGATTTATTAGCCAAAGGTGCAAGCTCCATGCCAGATGGACCAAATGAAACCTGAGGACTAGAAGTTGTTGGAACTATTTGGCCTTGGCGAATAATCCCACTGCTCAATTCACTGATATTTGTTCGAGGTAATGTTGATATTCGGCATAGGCTCTGAAGAAAGTCCCGTTTTTCCTTTTGCCAATCTTCCTGAGAAAACCAGTTTAACATGGAAACAAGAGTTAAGTCACAACACTCGTCTTTAACATCAGATAGTTTAGTGAACATTCTAGAGCAAAATCAATAATGACCATGGTAGTAAGCATCAAAATTCAGGGCATGTTTCATAGCTAGAAATGTCTTTCTAATTTTTCTTGTCGTAGTTCTTGTCGGTACATAAAAGAGGGGGAGAAAGCCCATTCCTCACCATGGTCTTTCAGTAAAGTCCTGGAGATTTGAATCCTCTTTTGAGTCAAGAAATACCTTTTAGAGGACAACCTAGAAACTAACAATCCCCCAATCCCCACCCAAAAAAAAAAAAAAAAAAAGAG